TTGGAATGTGACTTTATTGACCGGGCGCAGATGCCGCATAGAGGAACATCTAAATTGCTTTGCAGCTGAGTGTTTCTTAATTTTGTATGTCTTGTATGCACAGGTGACTGATGATGATTATGGTTCCATGTGCTCGGGTGATTCTATGTTAGAAGATCCCTTTTGGTTGGTTATTACTCATTTTGAGTTATGGAGGATGATCGTTGGTAGTTATTTCAGGATGGAGGTAATGCACAGACAATGTGTTTCACGATTGTATACCAAAAGGAGATGTCAGAATCATTGGTTTTGGTTGAGGTTTGATCAAGGGAGTAAGACAAAAGGGATGCTGGCAAAAATTCATATAAGGTGGTTTGTTGTTGATAATTCTTATCGGTTGTTGACTAATAGAGATGAGATTAGAAGAAAGAGGTTGATTTTATTATGGCGACACTTTAACTTATCTGAGATTTCAGTTTGGGATATATTAATCTATGCAGATATTGCGTGTAAAAACAAGTTAATACTATTTCGGTTGGTATGCATTATTTCACGGAGAATGGTTTGTAGGATGATAATTAAGTTGGTATCTCTCATAAGTATTATAAATTGTGTTCTCATGGGTTATAAGTATATTAAAAATAAATTAGCCCTCATACCAAATGGCCAGGTTTTGGTTAGCACAATGCCACGGAATACAACAAACTTTAATTAATAATTTATATCATGAGTATATTAAGTTGGAATTATCGGGGTGCGGGAGGTTCGGATACTGTTCAACGGATCCGGGATTTTCGCCACCAATACTTCCCAGAATTTTTATTTCTTATGGAAACTAAACAAAAAGTGGCGTATATGGACTCTCTAAAATCCAGTTTGGGTTATGATCATTTACATACGGTCGAACCTCTGGGGCGTAGTGGAGGTCTAGCTTTAATGTGGAAAGGATGTTACAAAGTGGACATTATTTACAGTGACAATAGAATTATTGATTTAAAGGTAAAAATGGGATCTATTGAATTCTTCCTTTCTTGCATATATGGTGACCCAGTAAGAGGCAGAAGAAGATTCTTTTGGGATAAGTTAACAGATATAGGGATGCTCAGGGATGAAGCATGGGTATTGGTTGGGGATTTTAATGAATTAATGCATAACGGGAAAAAACAGGGAGGTCCTACTAGAGAGGAATCAACTTTTTTCGATTTTAGAAACATGGCGGAAGCATGTAAAATTAGAGAGATGAGAACGACGGGTAACACCTTTTCATGGGCGGGGATGCGGGACCATCACTGGGTACAATGCCAATTGGATAGGAGTTTTGGGAATGAGGAATGGTTTCGCCTTTTCCCCCAATCGTCCACAGATTATATGACTATGTGGCCTTCAGATCATAGGCCACTACGTATAGTGTTCGCCTTTGAACCAGAAAGTTTACAAAGGGGAAGGTTCTTTTTTGATAAACGAATGTGGGGGAAAAGAGGATTCGAGGAAGCCATTGTTTGGGGGTGGGACAAGGAGAACGCTAATTCGAATCTAAGTGTCCTTGAGCGTATTGCTCGATGCCGACGGAACTATCTAAACTTAAAAAATCTAATGACTGGAATTCTAAAGTGAGAATAGACCGGTTACAAGCGGAGTTGGACAAAGAAAGTTCAAAGCAATTCCCCATTTTGGGTTTGATGAGAAGATTAAGGCAAGATCTGGCTTCAGCTTATAGAGAAGAGGAAATTTTTTGGCGACAAAGAAGTAGAGAAGAATGGTTACGGGAAGGTGACAGAAATACCACTTATTTTCATAATGTGGTCAGAGGGAAACGAATAAGGAACAAAATCCTTATGCTGCGTGATATCTTTGGTACTGAACATTTTTCAGAGGGGTCTAAAGGACATATTGCTACAGAATATTTTAAAGAACTGTTTACAAGTTCAAATCCAATAGACTTAGAATCTTTGTTTGAGGGTTTTGATAGTAGAGTTACGGTGGGTATGAACACGATGTTAACCAGAGAGGTTTCTCAGGACGAAATTAAAAAAGCAGCATTTGGGATTAAAGGAAGTAGTGCCCCGGGAGAAGATGGTCTCACAGGTTTTTTCTATCAAAAATACTGGCATATTGTGGGAGAGACAGTTACTGAAAATATTCAAAGTTTTTTTAAAACAGCCATTATCCCTGATGGATGGAATCATACACAATTATGTTTGTTACCAAAAATCTCACATCCCACAGAAATGAAGGATATGAGACCTATTAATCTCTGTAGTGTTCAATACAAAATTATCTCTCGGATCCTATGCGATCTCCTGAAGGTTGTTCTGCCACATATAATTTCTGAGACACAAGGTGCATTTGTTTGAGGACGGTTAATTACTGATAATGTTATTATTGCTCACGAATTGATACATGGGTTAAGAACAAATGATAAACTCGGTAAAGAAGGTATGGCTATCAAAACAGATATGTCAAAAGCTTACGATCGGGTAGAATGGAATTTCTTAGAGGTCCTATTTGAAAAAATGGGATTTGACCGTAAATGGGTAGTATGGTTAATGTCATGCATCACTACTGTCACTTTCTCGGTTCTACTTAATGGACGCTCCCATGGTTTCATCAAGCCAGAAAGAGGAATACGTCAGGGTGACCCTTTATCTCCTTTCCTTTTTATACTTTGTGCCGAAGCCCTGGTCCATATTCTAAACAGGGCGGACTCACAAGGCAAATTGCATGGTCTCAAGTTGGCTAAAAATAGCCCGGCTATACATCACCTACTTTTCGCGGATGATAGTTTGTTACTATGTGAAGCCTCGATTCAAGCCAGTGAGGAAATTTTGAAAGGATTGAAACTTTATGGGGATGCTTCAGGTCAAATGATAAATTATTCCAAATCATCAATTATTTTTGGGAAACACGTCAATGACGAGACCAAACAGGCTATAAAGGAAATTTTGGGCATCGAGAAAGAAGGTGGAGAAGGCTCGTACCTGGGTCTCCCTGAATGTTTTCAGGGTTAAAAAAAAGACCTTTTAAACTTTATTAAAGAAAAGCTAGAAGGAATATTACAGGGTTGGTATTCTAAAACTTTATCGATGGGGGCCAAAGAAGTTTTAATAAAATCAGTCGCTTTAGCCCTGCCTGTTTACGCAATGTCGGTTTTCCAATTACCAAAAGGTCTTTGCGAAAGGATAACGAGTGCTATAATTGAATTTTGGTGGAGTAGTGGAGATAAAAAAAGAAAGATTCCATGGGTATCATGGGAAAAATTATGTAAACCTAAGGAACAGGGAGGTCTTGGTTTTCATGACATCGGTCGTTTCAATCAAGCATTGTTGGGAAAACAAGCTTGGAGGATTTGGAACAATCCAAATTCTTTGGTTTCAAAAATTTTGAAAGGCAAATATTTTTAAAACAGTGATTTTCTGGACTGTGGTATGGGAACCCGTCCTTCGTATGCCTGGAGGAGTATCATGCATGGTCGAGAATTGCTAAAAAAGGGTTTATATCGGCATATTGGTAATGGAGAGATATCCAATGTGTGGGCGAAAAACTGGATAATCGACATTATTCCTCGTCCGCCAATGTATCGGGAGAATAGTCCCATCAATTTAGCATTAAAGGTCTCAGATTTATTGGTTCCGGGATCGAACCAATGGGATGAAAATCTACTACACCAAACATTCACGACGCAAGATGTTCAGAGAATATTAAAATTAAAACCAGTTTTGTTTCAAGAGGATTCTATTAGATGGGGATTTACACCAAATGGATCTTACTCAACCCGCAGTGGGTATAAACTTTTGGAAGCTTTGGTGGGTATTGATCACTCACACGCCCACTCTCTCTCTCCTATTGAAAAAAAAAACTGTGGACGGATTTATGGAAAATAAAAGCTCCACCAAAAATTAAACATTTTATGTGGCGTGCTCTGTCAGGTGCTTTAGCGGTCAAACAAAGATTAAATACAAGGGGTATTACAATTGATCCGACTTGCAATATCTGCGGTAATGGGGCTGAAAGCATATGTCATGTTCTCTTTACATGTGATAAAGCAAAGGCAGTATGGGAGCAAGCCCAAGTTCCAATACCATCAGGAGGGTTTTCAAGGAATTCTACATTCTTAAATTTCCTGCATTTGATAAAAATTGAGAAAAATTCATTAACGGATTTTCAGTTAGGAAAAGTTTTTCCTTGGCTGTTGTGGGAAATTTGGAAAGCTCGAAATGACTTCATCTTTAAATCGAAGGATAATGAGGCCTCCTATATTGCTAAAAAAGCTTATGAAGAAGTATCCACCTGGTGTGATACGTTCACAAAAGATACAATGGGTGGGACCAACGAAAATAATCTCCTTTGGAAAAAACCCCCAAAAGGTTTTCTCAAATGTAACGTTGGTTCTTCCTGGGTAAGCGCGAATCGTAGTAGTGGTGCGTCGTGGTTCCTACGGGACGAGAGAGGATGTACTCTCATGCATAGTCGTAGAGCTTACTCATGTATGCGTTCAAAGGTAGAGGCTGACCTGTGGGACCTTTTTTGGGCAGCGGAGTGTGTACAGACTTTGCATTTCTCAAACATTATTTTCGAGACGTCATCTGAATGCCTACGCAATCTTCTATCCCAGCCGAATGATGATCAAAGGTTCAGCCACCTCCGTCACAGCATATCACTACTTCTCGCACGAATAGAAGCCTGGAGCATTGACCACGCATTCCCTGAACGAAATGGTGCTGCCGATGCTATTGCTCTTAGCGTCACCCGTGATCTGCGGCATCATTCGTACATTGCCCGAAACGCTCCAGCCTGGCTTCACAGACTTCTCGCATTGGAGGCGAATTAGGTTTGGCTTTGTATGAGTTTTTTTAGGCCTTTTTGTCTTCTGACATGTTTTTTGCCTTGTATCTCATGCGTGATTTTTATTCCTGCTCCTTTTGTTTGAACATCAGTGTTATAAAAAAAAACAACTGATTAATGGAAACAAAGTGGGTAATAGTTTTTTTTTGGGTGTAAATGTTAAAAAGTGGGGTAATTAATTAAGAAAAATCACCAGAGAAAGGACTAGGAGACACCGGTGTAGTTGAACCGGCCGGCGAAATGGGAGCTGAACCGCCTTGGTATCCTGGCGATTTTATTATCATAATGCTTTGTGTTACTTTCATGATCTCTTCTGGTGAATCTCCACCATTCGATGGATCTAAATCATAGATATTAATTCAGACAAGGAAAAAACAAAAAGACATGAGATGATATATCATCCGTTAATGTTATTTTTTCATTTTAAAGATCTAATTTTGGTTTCAGTTATAAATAATGATCAGTGACGGCGTACCATTAACGGAACCTTGCCGGAAACTAAAAGTATGGTGTTTCCGAAGCTTGCCATGGCCATTCACCGGCCAAGGACCAGTAAAGGTATCATCCCAGAGATGATCTAGTAAACCCATAGTTTCAATAATCGCAAAGTTAGGTTTTTCCACAGATGTTGTAGACAAAGGAGAGAGAGAGAGAGAGAGAGAGAGAGAGAGAGAGAGAGAGAGTTGACGAAGGTGGTGATGATTTTAAAGGCGATCGGGGATATCTCAACCGTTGATCTCAATTTGACGTCTCACTTGAATCTTAGCTCACGTAAGGTGGTAAGGGCTATTGAAGTGGGACCCAAATCAATAAGGTGTAGATATTTAGATCGGAGGGCCATAAATCCATCTCACATGCCCGCATCTCTCGCTGTCCTTTTATTTATGATATTACCCTTATTTACACTGGGACCCAAATTGATAAGAGGTAAATCCCTCGATTTCAATTTATTTACACTGCTACACAACCACCAGGAATGTCATTGACTTAGGGTAAAATAGAGTTATTCTTGGGTTGACCATCTAGGGTGAACTTCTAGGTTCACCATCCAATAGGATTGGATTATTTCATATTTGATCTTTTAAAAAAGGAAACACAATCTTATTAAGTTATATTATGTTTTAAAAAATAAAAATACAAAAATAATAATAATTAATAAAAATGAAAAATATATTATTTAAAGAAAATATTTTAACACTAAACCCTAAAATCTAAACCCCTAGGTAAATCATAAACCTTTGGATAACTTTTATAAAAAAATTCTTTAAAAAATATTATTTTAACCCTAAAACACTAAACCATAAACTTTAATCCTAAACCCTAAGCCCTTGGGTAAATCATAAATACTAAACCCTAAACGCTAATCCTAAACCCTAAACCTTGTTTAAATCATAAACACTAAATTTTTAAAACACTATAATATTTATCCAAAGGTTTATGATTTATCTAGGGGTTTAGGTTGAGGATTAAAGTTTAGGGTTTAGTTTTAAAAGATTTTCTTTAAAAAAAATTATTTTAATTTTAATTAATTATTTTTTTATTTTTTTATTTATTTATTTTTGTATTTTTATTTTTTTAAACATAACATAACTTATAAGTTTTTGTTTTCTTTTTAAAAAAATATCAATTATAAAATATATGCGCATTTTATTAGTGGGCCATAAAAAAAATAAAACCCATCAATACAGGCCCGTTTAAAGATTATCGAACATTATTTCTATATTCATTACAAAGCAGCCCCAAATGTTTTGATTAGAGTCAATTGAGTCGTCTCATCCTTTATCTTCTTCAAAATGGAAAGTCTCTCCATGCCTCTGTCGCCGTTTCGGCTTCAGACACAGACCCGACTTACAGTAATTACTACCCGAGCGAGTATCCGATCATTCAATCTCAATTCGACAAGGATTTACACGAAAGTTAGAGGTTTGGGAGGAAATCGAAGAGAGCAGAATGATTCGAGATTCGTCGATGAAAATGGCGGAGTTGACGACATGGAAGGTTACTTAGATCATCTCTCTCTCGAATACGACTCCGTCTGGGACACAAAGCCCTCCTGGTATGTCTCAATTAAGCTCTAACATCTTTAGAGTTCAGACTAAATCTTGGTCTGAATAACTCTGAACTCAATTACAGTTCTAACATCTCCAGGCAACAAAATTGGTTTCTTGTCACCTAAAGTCGTTGACTTTGGTTCTTTCACTCCCTAGTAGATGATAATAAAAAGACAATTGCCTCTAGATTGATTGTCTATGATCTGGTTTGTATTCTGCAATTAAGGTGGTGTCCGGTTCTTATCATCAGACATATGTTACTATGTTTTCTCAGGTGTCAGCCATGGACGATAGTGGTGACGGGTTTATCAGTAGTGGCATGTAGCTGGGGAATTCTACATTCGGTTTTAGCTTCATCGCTTGCTGTTGGTTTAATTAGCGCTTGGTGGTACATTTTCCTTTACAGCTACCCAAAGGTATGATTTTTCTTATTCACCATTGCCCGCAGTTACTTACTTGTTCTAACATCTTTGGACAATGCTGGTTCTTTCGAACAGATCCTGGTCTTTGTGTTTTTCGTGTGAGATCTGATGGTTTTGTGTTCTACTTTTTTTTTCCTTTTTCGCAGTCGTATTCAGAAATGATTGCTGAAAGAAGGAAAAGAGTAGCTGATGGTTTTGAAGATATATACGGCAAAAACAAGACTTCTTAGTCAAAAATGTTCGAATTAACATTCGTTTTACCTGTCGTTTAAACCATGTATGTATCTATGGATAACAAAGCTCTTGAATTTAATGATCAAACCAAACAACATAGTTTAAACCGAATGACAGTTGATTTGAGGTCTTATAGATGATAAAACTCATTAGATAGGCAGCTAGAGAGGGTCTAATGTCAATTTGATTACTACAAACATAACTAAAACCATAAAGATGAGTAACAACCTTTCTTCTCAAACTCACACCAAATATTTCGCACGGACGATGTGGATCTTAACAGCATAAACCAGATCTTTGTTACGCAAGAGCTCACACACGACACGATCTTCTTTCTTCAGCTTGTTCCTATTGCAAATGCGGATCCATTTTTTGATGCACACACGTTGGTCCTTCCACCTCGCCGTTTTCGCCTCTAGTTTCCCCTTTGGGTCGATGTAGTAAATGTAGTCTTTAAACCTCAGGCAGTAGTCTTTCACCAGCTGTGCATGAACTAACTGTTACGTGTTGGAAACCAAAACAATGATTAAGTTAGTTATAACCAAATAATAATAGAGTATTTAAAGAGAATCTATTTCTAACTCTTTACCAGCTCGTATTTCCTGTTCTTCACGCCTGTCTCAAAATATATATTCGTTGGATCATCCAGATACACCTCCGGGTTTTCGATTATGCTCTTTACTGTAAATCATCACAAAAGGAGAAACACATCTTTCAATATGATAAGCATCACACAGATTAATAGGCAATAGTGTATTTACCTTTCTCCCTTCTCTTTGGGACTCGTTCCACAGCACAAGAACTATCACCAACTTCAACCACATCTTTTATCACTTTTGACTTCCCTTGAGAACCTCAACAAGACCAAAAAAAAACAAGCTTTACATAAGTATAAGCTTTTACCCAAATTTGATCAAAGTGGTGAATGTATTTTTATTTTTTGTACCTCCTTTCTTCTTTGGACTTGTCACTTTTCGTTTGGCATGAGTGGCTGTGTCTTCACTGTCTGGAGCATAAGAACTGTCACTGCTCGAGTCCTCTTCCATCTCTAAGCGACCAAATTCTTCAGCATAATCACTATCAGAACTCTCCACTTTCTTCTTCTTCTTTCCTGGAAGAATCTCAAATGTCTATTATAAAGCAATCACATAAACACAACTCAAGTGATTTAAAGAGGTAACAATGAGCTAAAACCTTTCTTCTTGGTTTTCTTGTCCATCTTGGATTCAAAAACAGTGTCTTCACTGTTTAGAGAATGGTCACTGTCCTCTTCGTCATCAGATTCCTCCTTAACTTCTTCCTCTTTCGACTTTCCTGGTCAAGATACAAAGCATTTTGTGTGTCTTATATAACGCAATCACATCAAACGAACTAATGAATGAAACAAAGCTTAGCAAATTGTGGTCAAACCTTTGTCCTCGCTTCTCGGGACTGCATTGGCCATTTCAGATTCAGAAGAAGTGTCTTTGTCTGTGTCTTTGCTGTTGCTGAGAGAATAAACACTGTCTTCTTCATCATCAGAATCATCCACAGCTTCCACTTTTGCCTTTCCTGGAAACGAGGAGTCTGTATAAGCAAATCACACAAAAAATACCTCATTAACGGATGCAAAGAGGAGCTAACCTTTGTCATTGTTTCTCTGAACTGTTTTGGCCTTCTCAGATTCAGCACTAGTATCTGTGGTGTCATCGCTGCTTAGAGCACAGATACTGTCTTCTTCTTCCTCATCCTCAACTTCAGCCACTGCTCTAGTCTCTTTACATCCATCAAGGCCATAGATGCTGACCTCGAAAATGTTGTCTCCGTTATACACGAAGGTCATAAAGTCTCCATCGACCAGAGCATTGTCCTTAACGAATTTGGGCCACCCTTGTTCGAAGTACACTTCCTCTTCCTCTAGCTTCAGCGTCATGGCTACCTTCCAAACACATCCACCAGTGCCTTGGAGAATCGCTGTCTTGGGCAAATGACGTGGAAGTTCATCGTAGTAGGAGATGGGGATAAGCTGCACCCAAAAATGTGTTGCCACAAACTGTTTAACTTCGAGAGATAGAGAGCAAGGACAATGAACAGAGACTTTTAATATCCAACAGTCCAGAAAAGGTTTGGTTTTTAAGAGGATTTGCCTTGTGTATCAAGGCATAGGAGCAGTTAAAAGGATGAAGATTTAGGGACTCAACAGAAGTAACATAAAACTGCTAAAGATCTGTATCAAGTTATTAACATATACTAAGCAAAGACCAAAACAACAATGTTTAAAGATCTCTAGTGAAAATTTCAGTAATGAAACCCATTCTCATGTAAAGTTAGAGACTTTACACTCCCTCTACAACACACACAAAAGGTGCAAATATATGTATCGATTATGAATCTAAAACTACCATATTCTAGTGCAATTTTCATAAATGAAACTGACTCATATATAAAGCTAACATCTTTACTTCAGAAATCAGAGGATCTAACAGCTTTGCCATTAAAAAACAGAGGAAAGAAGCTAAAGGGATATGAAACAGAGCAAACTCTCCCAACCAAGATAACCATACGAAAGCTTAAAATTGAAGAAAACAAACGAAAGAGACAGGCTTTTGCAGTTTAAGAAGAGACCCAAAGTGATACGGGAGATTAGAGTATGCTTACCATAGAGTCTGAGCTAAAATGGGAGATGAACACTTTGAAGAAACGAGGGAGAGTTTCAGTGGAAGCCATTGCAAGAGGATGTCTCTAGTGTGTGTGAGAGAGAGAGAGAGGGAAACAGGTTCTAGAGGGTAAAATAGGGGGCAGAGGGAAGAGAAAAATGCGTAAAGGAGAGACAGAAAAGAAAAATTCAAAAGGAAGTCTTCGGTCAAAGAAAAGTACTCGTTCGTCATTGATTCCCTGCTGTTATAGATGTTTCAGAACAAACGAACGAGTAAAAAGTGAAAAAAGAAAAAAGACTGTTCAGCCGTCTGTTTGACTCTTGACTTGAGTACGGAAAGGACAGAGTCCCACAGAGTTTTCACTCTAAAATAGAGTTTATTTTAGAGTAAAAATGCTCCTCTATGTGAACAAGAACGAATTTGTATCTAATTTGAACTGAGCCAACCGAACTCTATTGAATTTGACATTCATCTGACTTTATATCTAAAAATGCATTTGATAGTGAACATAAATTAAAGGATTTTTAGTAATTTAAACCCTCAACTAATGATTAATCGTAAAACAAACCCTCAACTAAAAATCTTGTGAAATAAACTCTCATCTTTCTGTCCGTTAATGTTTTCGCCCCTTCGTAACTTTTGTCGTCAACTTTTGACGGAGAAACGTTAACGGTTGACGGAAAGGTTACGGAGGGGCGAAAACATAAATGGACATAAAGATGAGGGTTTATTTCACCGAATTTTTAGTTGAGGATTTATTTCACAGGATTTTTAGTTGAGGGTTTGTTTTACGATATATCTTTAGTTGAGGGTTTAAATTACTAAAAATCCTTTTTTTTAGAAAATCATATAAGTATTGATTATTTAGTAATTTTATGACCGATTTTACTGTTAATACAAACTCACTTTTCTTTGTCAGTGAGACCTCGAAGGAGGATAAATTTAACTTGTAGCTATTCTTGTTTTCATGTTCGCTCTTTCACAAAAAAAAAACTTGTTTTTGAGATTAATGTTTGGTTTAGGGTTTGCATTTGTCAATTCATACAAAGGAACAACCTAAGACCGAAGTTTAAAATTCATGTATCCGAGCTTCATTTTGGTGAGGAATCCACATTAGTTCAGACAACAAATCAAGTGGACCAATCTCCGTCAATTCGATCTTTCTTCTCAAACAAATCATCTCAGTCTCTCAATGCTAAAAGAGGACCTACTAATTTTAACATAAACATAAATAAATACAGAAATAATACCACATTTAATGTGTAGAATGGTGGCTCAGTGAACGCTTCTAAAATATCTATAACTTAAATTACGACAAGTTATATTTAAGTTATCTTTTGTCTTTTCTAAGATTGGTTGGTGGGTCGGATGAAAATGCATGAGTGACTGGTTTGAGTGATGTAGCCACTGAAAATGGCAATTAAGTCGTTGTCCTTATAGGACGACCACTGAAAGATGAACACGCTGAGGTAGGTTTTACCATAGCATTGAGAGACTAAGATGATTTGTTAGAGAAAAAAGAACGAATTGACGGAGATTGGTCCACTTAATTTGTTGTCTGAGCTGATGTGGATTCCTCACCAAAATGAAGATTGGATACCTGAATTTTAAACAAAACATTAATCTCAATAACAAGTTTTTTTTTTTGTGAAAGAGCCAACATGAAAACAAGAATAGCTACAAGTTAGATTTACCGAAGGAATGCGAGGTCTTATTGACAAAAAACTGAGTTTGTATTAACAGTAAAATCGGTCATAAAATTACTAAATAATCAATACTTATAGGATTTTCTCAAAAAAAAGGATTTTTAGTAATTTAAACCCTCAACTAAAGATATATCGTAAAACAAACCCTCAACTAAAACTCCTGTGAAATAAACCCTCAACTAAATATCCTTGTGAAATAAACTATCATCTTTATGTCCATTAATGTTTTCGCCCCTCCGTAACATTTTCGTCAACATTTAACGTTTCTCCGTCAACTTTGACGACAAAAGTTACGGAGGGGGGAAAACATTAACGAACATAAAAATGAGGGTTTATTTCACAAGATTTTTAGTTGAGGGTTTGTTTTACGATTAATCTTTAGTTGAGGGTTTAAATTACTAAAAATCCTAAATTAAACTAAAAACTTATAAAAAGCTGAATTTTGTTCGGTTTAAATATGGTAAGTGACCCTTTGGTAAAATCCGGATTGAATATTAAATCGCTTGAACCGAGAGGAACGAACAGGGTAAATATGTAATTTACCAACGGTAACAAATCTTGGTACGTTTACTAGACCAAATTTTGTAAGGGGGGACCGTTTAGTTTGGTAATCGGAATTGAACCGAACCAATTTACTAATCGATTGATCCAATACCGAACCGAGAGGAAATAACAGGGTAACTATGTAATTTACTAAAGGTAACAGCAGAATATATGTATAATTGGTCACCTGCTGAATTTAATAAATATTGTCCACTAGAAGGAACGGAAGATCGCTTAAACCGACGAGGGCGATGCCAAGCGGTGGTAACGGAGTGGGTAACGGTGCCGTTAACGCAGCAGGCACAAGCGGAAACACCACCCCAAAGTTCAAGCCTTACCGTCACCTAAAAACCCTAGAAGGGCACACGGCGGCGATCTCGTGCGTCAAATTCTCCAACGACGGAAACCTCCTCGCCTCGGCCTCCCTCGACAAGACGATGATCCTCTGGTCCGCAACGAACTACTCTCTGATCCACCGATACGAAGGCCACTCCGGCGGCATCTCCGATCTAGCATGGTCCTCGGATTCGCACTACACCTGCTCCGCCTCCGACGACTGCACGCTCCGGATCTGGGACGCGAGATCTCCGCCGTACGAGTGTCTCAAGGTGCTTAGAGGCCACACGAACTTCGTCTTCTGCGTCAACTTCAACCCTCCCTCCAATCTGATCGTGTCGGGTGCGTTCGATGAGACGATTCGGATCTGGGAGGTGAAGACTGGGAGGTGCGTTCGTGTGATCAAGGCTCATTCGATGCCCGTTACGAGCGTGCATTTCAATCGCGATGGGTCCTTGATTGTTTCAGGGAGTCATGATGGTTGTTGTAAGATTTGGGATGCTAAGGAAGGCACTTGCTTGAAGACTTTGATTGATGATAAGTCTCCTGCTGTCTCTTTCGCTAAGTTCTCTCCTAATGGCAAGTTTATCCTCGTTGCCACTCTCGACAGTACTCTCGTAAGTCTCCCTTTCAATTTATTTTACCAACTCTACTCTCTCTCTGTTACTTTTGACTTACGGATTCTCTTAAACGTACACAGAAGCTCTCCAACTATGCAACTGGCAAGTTTATAAAGGTCTACACAGGACATACCAACAAAGTATTCTGCATCACTTCTGCCTTTTCCGTGACCAACGGAAAGTACATTGTCAGTGGATCTGAAGACAGCTGTGTGTATCTCTGGGATCTTCAGCTTAAAACTGTACTCCAGACACTACAAGGCCACACCGACGCTGTCATCTCTGTGACTTGCCATCCTGTTCAAAACGAGATTGCTTCCTCCGCTAATCATTTAGATAAGACCATCAGGATATGGAGACAGGATGATGATGATGCTTAGAACATGCTTTTACGTTATGACTCCTGGATAACGTCAATGTAATTTGCTTTTGTGAGATTGATTATTTTACACAGTTCAAGTGTGAGAGCAATATCTGTATGGTGGTGGTCAAGACACATGAAAGCATACTACGATCAGTTTTCAATGTTACTTATCAAACTTACAATGTACTGAATAATTATGCTCATTCAACAACTCTATAATTTTGTCTCTTAGATTATTCAACATTCAACTTCAACAGTAAGGAGGAGGGAGGGTAACATCAAGAATGAGATGTACAACTTATTACGCTCAATCCTTTACCTCATCTGACATATAAAGAGACCAATCTGACATATAATTTCATTTGTAGCATTAGACCAAATAAAAATATATAGACTATGTACAATGGGGGTGTTGAATACAAAATTCAACACTTGAATCGCTACAATGGAGGTGTTGAAATATGATAATTGATGATGTAGATTATTTGGTGTTGAAAAGATTCAAAATATTGAATGATAAAAAAGTGAAGACCACCGATGACATATGTCAATTTTTAAGATTTTTTCATATTTTTATATCTCATTCCTTATTTAAAATCAATAATTTATTATAAATTGAATAATTTATTTTTATTTTTTATTTTTATTTAAAAATTTATCATTTTAAATTCTTTATAAATAGATATTAGATTTACTTGATTTGGATATAGAAAAAATAACTATTAACTAAAAAAATAAGGTGTTGAAATAAATTTAACAAAACTTTTATAGTGGATAAAAGTTAAACATGTGTTGAATGATGAGATAATAAAAAAGAAAAGATAATGTGAAGTGTTAGAAGATGTTGAATATTAAAACCATTGAGAACAGTCTAAGAGATAGTACCAAATGAAGAAGAAAGATATATGAAAGTAAAATTAAAGGAGCCATTCCATAATTCGGGTCATTGCATCATCTAGGTTTAAACTTTAGACAAGTTAACTTTTGGAAGTTTCAATGGTTGAATATGTTATAACGCCTAACCCACTGATCATATACAAGTTGAACAAAAAGAATGGGAGTACAACAAAAGATAGGAACCATATGTGGAAACCTCCCCGCCCTCCTCCCCATAGAAGTTTGTGCCAAGTCGTCAGGAACTCTATTGCTTAATCATTAATGAAATTTATTATATAATAGCTATTAAAAATATCTAAAATATTTCATGTTATAAAAACATTTGGAAGAATACCTAACATTATTTTTATTCTTCTTTATTTAATTTTCATTTCACATACAAAATATCAAAACAAATCTTAGGTATTAAATGTTTAACTAGCTTTTGACCCGCATGCGTTCGCACATATATATATTATGTATAATTATATATGTATGTTACTTGTAAAAAACATTCACATTTATTTTTTATAGGTTATTGAGTTCTGATGTTGGTGTATCTTATTCATTTTGTTTAATATTTTATTCTAACTATCGTGTTGTATTTTTTTTATTGTACTTTTTTTTACTTGGTAAACTAAACAATTAACTGTAAGATATTAGAGTATCTTGTTTAAATTGTGTATTTTATTAAATTACACTATAAATTTTGTGATTGAAATTATTATTTAAAATTAGATTATATAGATACTTTAAAAAAAAATTATTTAGACAGCAAAATAAAATAAAAAACATTCAAAAACAAGTAAGATCTCTAGCAATTTTATCAACAAATACCATTTTTAAAAATTGAATTGAACAATTTGGTTTTAGGCAATTTAATTTTGATTTAAAATTAATGGATCTTAAATCTTTATCAGGCTCATTTAAAATTAAGTGTTTTAATTCCAATGGCATAAGATTGTAATTTTTGAGGAAAAAAATAAAGGGTATTTCCTATTTGTACTCTCATTTTAATAGTTTAGATGTGAGTAATAAAATAAAATCTATATCCAACATAAGCCAAAACTAAAGCATAAAATTGGAATATATTATCGAAAACAAAAATAAACTAATGCATAATTACATCAACTAATTTTGTTAATACTTCATTATCTACATGAACATATGATCTTTCTATTTAGGAAAAAAATAAAAGTTCAAATCTACATGAACATACGATTTTTCTATTTAGGAAAAAATATAAAAGTTTAACTTCTTAATTAGAATACAAAACAAAATCTAATAATGAAATTGATAAAATCTAAAACATAATAAATAAAAGATTATGTATTGGTTCAACCAGTGGTTTAACCGGTAAACGGATTCCAAGTTTTAGAGGTTTTTTGTTGGTTGCATCAAGGTTTTAAATAATAGTTTTATTTTAAAAGCCAAACTAGATTATATACCAATTCACCAGGTTTACCACGTGGATCCGGGTCGAGTTTCAAAACACTGGTATATAACTTAAGATCCTACTAAAGAGATTGAACCCAAAGGAATGTTTTTGTTTTAATAAAAGAGATAAATACATCAAAAATGGTTAATGTTATTGAAATTCTAGTTGACAAAAAATTAAAATTATTAATTGATGAATATGTTATATAACATATCATTTTATTTTATTTTATTTTATTTTATTTTATATTTAATCAAAATATGAGCAACCAATAAATAATAGACCATTAAAATTTGTCAATTTATTATAAATATTATATATATATTGAATCAAAAATATATATACAAATGCATGTTCATGTAAGCATTACTTTTTCTTTATTGTGAAGAATTTCTTATATCTATATTATTGGAACAAACACACGTGCGTCAATCTCTAGTAGATCTTTAAACTTTGATCATTTGACATAAGCTTTGATTTTCTCTTTTTGGAATTAGCAACTCGAGATCAAATTAATCATTCATAGGGAACGTGGACGCACAATACATTATAGTTTAAATTAAGATTAAGCTAAGTAATCAATATTAAATCAGTAAATAGCAGTAAACAAATAAATCAGTTGGTTGTAAATGCTAAGAGAAAATAGCTAGAGTTAGGGTTTCAGGCAATCAGAATTATGCATATATACAAGGATATATGATAAACTGTCTTATAACTCGAATGCAATAGTAAGATATTTAACTTTCGCTATAAGTCTAATAAGATAAATAAGTCTTTGTTCTAGCTGTCATATGCGAACAAGGAGTGAGTGTCGATTGATAATACAAAATTTGGTTCAATATTTCTTTAGACAATCACTAATGTCCTAATCGATATGTTCACTAAGTTAACTAAAGCTCTCGCATGTATCTAACAACTTATCTCAACATAATTATTATTAGGTAATGAAACGTACCCTCCACATCTATCAATTATCAAAAATATTCAGAGTTCTTTTTAGCTACTCTATAACACAAGTAATAAATCCAATTCTGATGAAAGATCCTAATAATTCACCCTAGCTGTTCTATGTTTCAGTAATTAATCTAAACCCTAATACACTCTATATCTAACAAAAGAAACTACTCATGCATGTCAAGCAAAACATAACCATAATTTAAATAGAATGGATAAATAAAAAAAGGTAGAACAACTCAAATTCCAATACAAAAATTTCGAAGGAATTCTTGACTTTCTCTCCAAAAACTACTAAAAGAAACCCTAAGTAAATTCGGTGTGGTAAGATGTGTAAAGTGGTGTGTTGTCTAAACAATAACAAAAATCATAAATAATAGGTATAAAAGCGATCAATGAAATTTTGGTAATCATGTGAATCTTCTTGGCTTGAGTGGATCTTGACTTCGGCTCGTTTACTCACACGGATGTCAGTAATGTATACGAGAATGATTTAGATAAAATAAAAGTGACCATTTTATCTTTTAAAATTTACTTTAGATTGTTATGCTTATGCACTTAATCTGTTGATTTAGCAACTTGATATACTAAAACTGAAAAAAAAAAACCCATCAAACCATAAGTTCCCATGAAGAGTCACTCTCAGCATTGCATTGTTTTTTTTTAAAAGATAAAGCACACAACTTTAATTTTCTGAGGAAAATTAGTTCATCTAATCCAGAATTTGCGGAATAAAGTCTACTAGTGCTTACCATTAAAGTTTTCCTAATTGCAGAATATCTAGAATTTACGTACCTGATTAGTTTTCCTAATTGAATTCACAGGAATCACAACTTTCAGCTAGCTAATGACATGTCTCCTTGATAACCCAACCATTTAAACTAATGTTGTTATAAATTACAAAAGGGACGACTATAGTCAAAAAGTTAAAGAAAAAGAATGATCCTAGTTGACTGTGTTTAACAAAAAAAAAAAGAATATTCCTAGTTGACATGTTTGTGTAAGCATGCAAAGAGACTCCACCGTACTTTGTTTACTACTAAAAGATTATTATTGAATAAAAACTAAACAAAATCACTTAATTTTTTTGAAGGATCTTAACTTCTGATTACTGTAATAATTTTCAGGTCAGCAGTGGAATGTTGCTGATGCAAAAAAATCTTCTTTATTTTTCTTTTGTTCCTGTTGCTTTGATTGGCTTGGACATTCTGTAGAACACCAATGGCAGCAAAAAGATTGAAAAGTAAATAGAAATTGGCTAACGCGACCTTCGAATGGTTTAAGGCTCACTGCAGAGAAAGAAAATGGTATATATATATATATATATCTTATATATTACTCCATCCGTTTCATATTAAGTGTCGTTGTAAAGAATTTTTTGCGTTACAAAATAAGTGTCGTTTTCGATTTTCAATACAAAATTTATTAATTTTAGGTGTAATTTGTTTTTTCTATTGGTTAAAATATGGTTAGTTGTATGGGTAATTGTGTTTTTATATAGGAAATATGTAAAATTAATTGTTTTCTTAATCCATGTGCACAGCTGTAGAGTGACACTTATAATGAAACAGAGGGAGTAAAATATAAGTCATTATTTAACTTGATGTGTGATCTTTTAGTTGGATCTTCCTTAGACAATATTTATTAATGTATTTCCTTAAGATTAATAATATATAATCTATGTAACTACTTTATTCATAATATCTTTTGATATCTTTTCATTTTAATATAAATATATATATTTCAAACTTCTAGCAAATTTGTTGATTTTTTTTTTAAAAGATCTCAATTTTAAAAATATTATCTAAATATTTTCACTGATTTCGTAATTAATAATCAAATATTGTTATATATATATATATTCAGTTATTGGCTTATAAAATAAAAAATAAAACTTTTATCCTGTTTTATTTATTTTTATAATCATACTCTATCATATTAAAATAACTTTTATACTGAATTAAATAGTATAAAAGTATACTAAATTGATAAATTAATATAT